GCTAAATCCTTCTATAGAAATGCATGCCTTTTGATTTGTAAATTTCTACAACATGATGTCTTGTTTTTTAATATTTGTTTATGAACTGCTGTCTCGTCTGGATCAACAATTGATTGCCTGCTCAGACAAAGATGCTGATATGTGTTGTACCAAAATCACTTATGGTCTAAGTAAATTCCCTTTTTATAAATAGGACTGTAATAATTAAAGGTCAATGAGACCTGGGCTAGTAGAGGTCAAGATCTAGAAGACCCAATGCTAATAGAGGTCAAGGAGGCCAGACTTTAAAACAACGGTAACAGACATCAATGAGTCCAGGGCTATGAGAGGTTATGTCTATTGACTATTAGGGGTAAATGAGGCCAGACCTAGGGCTATTAGAGGTCAATAAGGCCAGACCTAGGGCTATTAGAGGTCAATAAGGCCAGACCTAGGGCTTTTACTATTAGAGGTCAATGAGGCCAGACCTAGGGCTATTAGAGGTCAATGAGGCCAGACCTAGGGCTTTTACTATTAACGGTAAATGAGGCCAGACCTAGGGCTATTACTATTAGGGGTCAATGAGGCCAGACCTAGGGCTATTACTGTTAGGGGTCAATGAGGCCAGACCTAGGGCTATTAGGGGTCAATGAGGCCAGATCTAACACTATTACTATTAGGGGTCAATGAGGCCAGACCTAGGGCTATTACTATTAGGGGTAAATGAGGCCAGACCTAGGGCTATTAGGGGTCAATGAGGCCAGACCTAGGGCTATTACTATTAGGGGTCAATGAGGCCAGACCTAGGGCTATTACTGTTAGGGGTCAATGAGGCCAGACCTAGGGCTATTAGGGGTCAATGAGGCCAGATCTAACCCTATTACTATTAGGGGTCAATGAGGCCAGACCTAGGGCTATTACTATTAGGGGTCAATGAGGCCAGATCTAACACTATTACTATTAGGGGTCAATGTAGCCAGATCTAAGGAATTGCCAATATAACTACTGAAGATCAAGAAAGCCAAGGTTACAAGAGTTTATCATAAATTGATACAGACATCAGATTTTATAAGAAACGAAATATATGTTTACCTGGTGATACCTGAAGCATTAAGGTACATGTACGTAGCCCTGTGTGGGTATACGTACCTGTGTGGGTTGGTTGTGAAGGAGATTATATTACAAGTGATAAACAGACCCATTACCACTGACTTTAAGCTGACTGTGATAGTTAGGAACCATCAAAGTGTTGAAGTGTTTTCATAAAAATATAGAGAGTTTAAACTTTACATTTTGATGCTGTATATATTTCATGATTGTTTCTGAATATATAATTCAATATTTCATGTGTACGACTGAACACATCTACATTTCACTATTGTGTCTAGATATACTAATATTCTCAGGAGTGAAAGCACATGTGAAAAAGTGTTAAATTTATATAACATATCTTTATTAAGAACTCGAATAACACATTTTTGGAAATGTGTGCCAAATCTTGCACTGGGATCTCCTTAGAATTTCTGTAACATAAGATATTTGTGTGTAAAACCAAGTTTTGAGAACCTTTTTTTCTGCAAAAATAGTATTGCCTGTATGCTGCTATATTAGAAGTTACTTGTTGATAAAACATGTCCAATTTCTACAATATTAAAAGTTTATTTTATAGGTGCAACTTTGTGCAAACATTTATAATTTTACTCTTACTTTAACCTACTCTGAGAACACACATCGACACTCTCTGTTTAACCTACTCTGAGAACACACATCGACAGTCTTACTCGACAGTCTCCATTTAACCTACTCTGAGAACACACATCGNATACTTTAACCTACTCTGAGAACACACATCGACAGTCTTACTCGACAGTCTCCATTTAACCTACTCTGAGAACACACATCGACAGTCTCCATTTAACCTACTCTGAGAACACACATCGACAGTCTCCATTTAACCTACTCTGAGAACACACATTGACAGTCTCCATTTAACCTTCTCTGAGAACACACATCGACAGTCTCCATTTAACCTACTCTGAGAACACACATCGACAGTCTCCATTTCATAGCTGTACTGTTTGGTCATTACCGGTAATCAGTTTGATATCTTTTTCCAGGTGATGTCTTACCAGTAAAAAGTTCTACGTTGAGACTTAACCTTCGAAGGTTATAAACGGAGATTACCTGCCTTGTTGTCTTTTTATTACACTAACAGAATTGTAACTTTACTGTCAATACTAGAGGCATACATACACACAAACTCTGACTTCACGATAGTTTGTTGACAATCAAGAATCACTTGCAGAGTGTATTAAGAGCATCTCTGACTTAGTGTGTCTCATGTATAAAGTTAAAGACCAATGCTAGTTCTTAACATGTTATCGAAGTGTGTCTTATGTAAAAAGTTAAAGACCAATGATAGTTCTTAACATGTTATCAAAGTGTGTCTTATGTATAAAGTTAAAGACCAATGATAGTTCTTAACATGTTATCGAAGTGTATCTCATGTAGTGAGAGACCAATGTTAGTTCTTAACATGTTATCGAAGTGTGTCTCATGTAGTGAGAGACCAATGATAGGTCTTAACATGTTATCCCACGTCAACTTGCATAACATGACAAGGACAGACCTACCTATTTGTACTGGTGACATTGTGTGGGCTTGCACACACCTCCCTTTGATCTACAGGTAAACTACCTATGTATATCGTTTACTTATTCAAAGCATCAACATTTCAATTTTAGATGGGTATTACTGATTAAAACCTAAACAAATGACCTGCTTTGATTGAGTTTGAGCAGTCAGGCTTGCATCTGGTTTTAGTAGAAAACAGGGTGGTTCATTGACATGGTAGAAATGTAATATTTTTTGTTCGGAATGACTCATGTGATACTAGCGACAAAGCTAAGTAAACAGGTAGAATGTGTATTTTGGTCGGGGGTCGTTGGTTTGATAGATTTGTCAAATGCGTGTAGTGTTGTTTAATATACATTACATTCGTGGTGGAACAGCTGGGAGTGTGTGGACATATAATGCTGAACAGTCTGAAAGCCTTCATCTTTAACAGGGATTTAGTGTACTCCTTACTATGTGGCTCTGACAGAAGATGTGAGGGTAATATTGAGCACGATTCCAAGCCTTACACCTGTGATTCCTCTGAGTCTGTTACTGTAAGTAATACTTCTTCCTGTCACAAGTATGTCACCAGTCTGTCGTTATTTTGGTACAGAATATTCATTGTGTTTTAATATTGGACAGCAACAGCTCAAACTAGACACGTTAGTCTGAACTCTCTTCAACAACAATCTGTCAGTCGTGCATATATATATATATGTAGCACAAAGTACAGGTCACAAAATTCATGTCAAAATATATGTACCAACAACTAGTTTGTTTTATCACAAACAAACCCTGTCACAAACAGTATTTGTGGTTCTCTGTACAGAGGTGACTTGCTATAGACAGGTTTTACATGCAGAGGTGAAGTTCTCAGTATTAATAATGATAACTGCTATAGACAGGTTTTACATGCAGAGGTGAAGTTCGCAGTATTAATAATGATGGCTGCTATAGGCAGGTTTTACATGCATAGGTGAAGTTCTCAGTATTAATAATGATGGCTGCTATAGACAGGTTTAACATGCAGAGGTGAAGTTTTCAGTATTAATAATGATGGCTGCTATAGACAGGTTTTACTTGCAGAGGTGAAGTTCTCAGTATTAATAATGACGGCTGCTATAGGCAGGTTTTACATGCAGAGGTGAAGTTCTCAGTATTAATAATGACGGCTGCTATAGGCAGGTTCTACATGCAGAGGTGAAGTTCTCAGTATTAATTATGATGGTTGCTATAGACAGGTTTTACATGAAGAGGTGAAGTTCTCAGTATTAATTATGATGGTTGCTATAGACAGGTTTTACATGCATAGGTCAAATTCTCAGTATTAATAATGATAGCTGCTATAGACAGGTTTTACATGCATAGGTGAAGTTCTCAGTATTAATTATGATGGTTGCTATAGACAGGTTTACATGCAGAGGTGATGTTCTCAGTACATGTATCGCTATGGACAGGTTCCTCAAAGAAGATGACTGTAATATAAAAGTTAATTTCTATATAGAAACTTGACTTACAATAGGTTTTCTATATAAATAGAGATGTATTCCCTGTAGCACTAGAGATATGAGGTTTCTCACTTGTCTGTACATTATGTAATTCGGTGTATATTTGGTTTAGAAAAAACTTACAAATGCCGACGAACCTTGCATTTAACTAACGCTAAATATGAGTTGATTGTATAGTTGCATAGTTGTATTTGCATAGTAGAGCCTATAAGAGGGTTCCCTTGTTACCTGTATAATAAAATGATCACAGGTTCAGAGTGCCTTGTAAATATTTTCTGTTTGGAGAACTTCCTGGAACAGTGACTAACAACTGTTTTACTCTATTTACTTTGGTCACATACAGCGCTGCATTATGACATGTTCCTATATTTATACTTGGAGATTTTGTGGTGTCGTGTAGTTATAAATAGCTGTTTCCATTCTCTTGATTACTGGATGAATAGGTATTTAACTATAAGATATGTCTATTGTTATTCCATTAAAAAGGAAGTGCCATATGGGTACATCATCTAAAGGTGATACCCACTAAGTGTGCTGTCATCATCTAAAGGTGATACCCACTAAGTGTGCTGTACTCATCTAAAGGTGATACCCACTAAGTGTGCTGTCATCATCTAAAGGTGATACCCACTAAGTGTGCTGTCATCATCTAAAGGTGATACCCACTAAGTGTGCTGTACTCGGAGGTTGGTAATGAGTGATGGTTTACGTCCAATACCCACTAAGTGTGCTGTACTCGTAGGTTGGTAATGAGTGATGGTATACGTCCAATACCCACTAAGTGTGCTGTACTCGGAGGTTGGTAATGAGTGATGGTATACGTCCATGTTAGACAACACCACTTTATTGTACCGTCACTGTTAACTCTTATTTCATAATGTTTTTATTTAATGTTTCTGTTATTATTTAAGAACACAAAATAAAAGTTCTATACAAAACAAATTTTGTTACTGATAAGGGCCATGGAAAATAACACAGCTTTTGCAGTGAATCACAGAAACTAATCTGGGAAACAACAGGCCTCTAGAGGTCTATTTGGGAAACTAGACTGGAAAAACAACAGACCTTTCATCAGGGGCCACACTAGACTGGGAAAACAACAGACCTTTCATCAGGGGCCACACTAGACTGGAAAAACAACAGAACTTTCATCAGGGGGCACTTGTGGGAACTAAACTTAGAAAACATTAAAATCAGCTCGACCTCTCAGAGGCCACTCAAAGAAACTAGACTGAGAAAACACTCAAAACAATAGACCTTTCAGAGATATGTCAAGGAGAATTAACCTTGAAAAGCAACAGTCCTCTTATTGGCAACAAGGATGGAGAATATAACAGACCTCTCTGGGGAAAACTTGATGGGAAAGTTGGATGGTGAAAAGCATACCTTTCGAGGCTCTTAAGGGGAAACTAATGTGGATGGAAAACAAGGATTAATAAGGAACCACAGATCTTCACGAGTCATTCAGAGGAAAGTTGAGCACAACAGCTAAATTCCTGAAAATGGAGGCAGGGGCAGCAAGGAGAGGGGTAGGGGATGGAAAAGGAGAATAAAATGGGGAAGACAGTCTAGTCCCATCTGTGGTCTAGGTGGTTGAAGTGAAGGCATTTTCCTAATAGAATATTGGTGTGATTTCTGTATGATTTCATTGGGTGTGATGTGAATTAGAGCTTAGTATATTGTAAGTGGTTGTAATTGACCTTCCACCTCAAGGTCACACTAGAGCATGTATATATATATGTAGTAAGGCAGTGTGTGGTTGGTCGTCCCTCATCACCATCATCTTGTCTACAATTATACCTCAAGTGGCCTGGTATTCCCTCATCACCTTAACATATGTCACACAAACACATGGTCATATTACTGGCTCAGGCCAAATTAGGAAGAAATTAGAATCTGACGAATCCTATTCATTTATGAGTTTGTATTTAGTTGAGTTTAGACCAAAACATTGTGATGAATTGGTGTGGAGGTGAGAGAGATGTAGTTTACAAGTCACTGCAGCAAAGATACAAATTACTGGTGGACTTTTGTTTCACTTTCACTATGAGATCAAGCTAGCCATTTCTCAGCTTTACTTCCTGCTCATGGAGAGATAGAATGCCATTTTACACGGTAAGTTAAATTTGAATGAGAAATACGGTGCTAAACATGTGCACTGAAATATAAAACATGTACAATTGTATATGTTTATAGATTGATTAATTGAATAATGTGATTTAAGTATGACATTTACCAGGACAGTGGTTTGTTATATTATTTGATCATCAAATCACAACTTAAATAGATATTGGATCTGTTGCTGCATGTTTCACAATTGACATTTCATTGTAAACTATATATATACGGCTCTGACATTTCATTGTAAACTATATATATATACGGCTCTAACATTTCATTGTAAACTATATATATAGAGCTCTGACATTTCATTGTAAACTGTATATATACGGCTCTGACATTTCATTGTAAACTATATATATACAGCTCTGACATTTCATTGTAAACTATATATATACGGCTCTGACATTTCATTGTAAACTATATATATACGGCTCTGACATTTCATTGTAAACTATATATATAGGGCTCTGATATTTCATTGTAAACTGTATATATATATATATACGGTTACAACCTAACAGCCTGATCTCTAGTGCTACTGTACTATATATACACGGCTCTGACATTTCATTGTGAACTATATATATAGGGCTCTGATATTTCATTGTAAACTGTATATATATATACGGCTACATCCTAATAGCCTGATCTCTAGTGTTACTGTACTTTATATATATAGGGCTCTGATATTTCATTGTAAACTGTATATATATATACGGCTATAACCAAACAGCCTAATCTCTAGTGCTACTGTACGATATATATACGGCTATAACCAAACAGCCTAATCTCTAGTGCTACTGTACTATCTATATACGGCTACAACCTAACGGCCTGATCTCTAGTGCTACTGTACTATATATATACGGCTACAACCAAACAGCCTGATCTCTAGTGCTACTGTACTTTATATATATACGGCTACATCCTAACAGCCTGATCTCTAGTGCTACTGTACTATCTATATACGGCTACAACCTAACAGCCTGATCTCTTGTGCTACTGTACTATATATATACGGCTACATCCTAACAGCCTGATCTCTAGTGCTACTGTACTATCTATATACGGCTACAACCTAACAGCCTGATCTCTAGTGCTACTGTACTTTATATATATACCGCTACATCCTAACAGCCTGATCTCTAGTGCTACTGTACTTTATATATATACCGCTACATCCTAACAGCCTGATCTCTAGTGCTACTGTACTTTATATATATACGGCTACATCCTAACAGCCTGATCTCTAGTGCTACTGTACTTTATATATATACGGCTACATCCTAACAGCCTGATCTCTAGTGCTACTGTACTATATATATATGGCTACAACCTAACAGCCTGATCTCTAGTGCTACAGTACTATATATACACGGCTACAACCTAACAGCCTGATCTCTAGTGCTACTGTACTTTATATATATACGGCTACATCCTAACAGCCTGATCTCTAGTGCTACTGTACTTTATATATATACCGCTACATCCTAACAGCCTGATCTCTAGTGCTACTGTACTTTATATATATACCGCTACATCCTAACAGCCTGATCTCTAGTGCTACTGTACTATCTATATACGGCTACAACCTAACAGCCTGATCTCTTGTGCTACTGTACTATATATATACGGCTACAACCAAACAGCCTGATCTCTAGGGCTACTGTACTATATATATACGGCTACAACCAAACAGCCTTATCTCTAGTGCTACTGTACTTTATATATATACCGCTACATCCTAACAGCCTGATCTCTAGTGCTACTGTACTTTATATCTATACGGCTACATCCTAACAGCCTGATCTCTAGTGCTACTGTACTTTATATCTATACGGCTACATCCTAACAGCCTGATCTCTAGTGCTACTGTACTTTATATATATACGGCTACATCCTAACAGCCTGATCTCTAGTGC